ACAGCATATGCAGTAAGCAGAAAAATAAAGGATATTATATTAGCTGACAGCAGAATAGAGGTGTAGATATCAGCATCTGTATATATTGCACATTTGGCAGATTTCTGAACCAAAATACAATGAATTCAAATAGTGGCCTCCAATGCCCTTATTCTCTCTGCATCCTGTCAAATGTAATTTCCTCCAGGAAGACATGAATCTAGCTGAGACTTTCCAAAACCTGTCCAAGTGATTTGGACACTCACTTCTCATTAGTATTAACAGCAAATAGACATCAGCATCTCCTAAATGCCTTTAGAAACCTCTGACACATTTTTTGTGGCTGTTAAAAGACTGTGTGGGCAACCTGCACGAGAAATGATAAATTTCACATTTGTTTCCCTGTGCTCAGATATTCATAATGTCCATGTACCAAATGTCAAGAAATTCCCTCAAAAAGACAGCTGAGATGTGGTAAGAGGGAGGGGAGAGACAGACTTCTGCTGTGTTTGGATTAAAGGACAACGTTCACATCCCAAAACTGTCTCCTCTGCAGGGGTCTGTATATACCAATTTCAGGCTAATACCACATTCATTGTCATCGTTTTGTCACCGCCCTAGGCAGGCATGTCACTGCGGTGGGAACAGGGATGCAGAGGAATGACATGGCTGCATGTGTCATATGCACTGAATCACAAGCACCACGCCGGCGAGCGCTAACGTGGAGGGAAAGGAAAGGTAAACTACCGTCCGTACACCCGATAACATGTCCCGCAGAAGGGAACAGCTATCCTTTTGAGATCCAAATTTTTAGCATTACACCTTAGATCATATTTAGTCCCACGTATGGATTCAGGAAACACCCTTCTGCCCATAAGAAGAAAATGCGAACTGCAGAAAAGCAAACTCATTTATAAATGACAGTAGATTATATTCTCCCCCTTCCCCACCAAACTGAGAGCCAGAAAGAAGCTTCTAAGAGATTTCATTCCTGTTATATCCAACTTCAAATTTTCACAGCCTCAGAAGCCAGAAAGCCTTGTAAGCCACTGCTCAACCCAAAAGCACTGTGAATCCTTTCAGACTGAACCTCCGTCCACCGCTCTGTTTGCCTTCACCTTTTTCCTTTCAAAGCCCTAACAAAGTAAGGCTTACCAACAAATACATATGCAAATAAGTGAGTAATATTGAGCTTTATAACTCCCTTACATGGCTTCTTCATCTGTTATTTAACTGACATCACTTCCCTTTTTTTCAAATGTATTTTATGTATATATGTCTGTTTTCTATAATCTTCTCAATTTCTCTTATCTCTTGTATTTTAATAAACCACATGTCTAGATTCAGTATCTTCTTTAGCAGCCAGAGAAGGAGATATATTTGTTCATTGCAGTTATTAAAATTCTAAACATCTCCCTCCCTTTATTTGATTTTAGTGAGATTCTGGACATTTTCTCAATACCAAGAAGATTGGATTCATTGGAATGTAACTCTGAAAGAAGTCTTGCATCGAAACTTTAATTCCAGTCCAAACCCCCATCAATTTAAGGTATCCCCAGAAGATCTGGACAAGGTGAACCTTTTTTTATATTAAGTATTCTCAACACTAGTTCAAGATGAAACTAAAATTGTTTTTTGCTTCTTAACACTGGGGGAAAAAAAAAAAAAAACAATGAACAAAACCTGAGACCATTGCTTTCACATATATTTTAAATCCTGACCGGACTCCCAATGGCCACTTTGCTTAAGCAAGAACAGACTTCAACCTTTAAATCTGACTTTTTGGGCATTATCTTCCCTGTATTAGTGGAATAAACTACTTAAAACAGAGTTCTGCTTTCCTAGGGGCCTCTCTACTGTCTGTCATTGGTGACTTTTACACAGAGAGAGCATTATGTTAAGAGGCTCATCTCAGCAATTCCAGCATTAGCTACCAAGAGAGGCAGCAGCAGTGGTTCCTTGACAATCCTTGAAGAAACACCAGTGATTTGTCTCCTAGTTTTCTCTCAGCTTTCTGTGAACTCAGTGTCCTGTAGTTTTGTGGAAAACCGCGCACTGGATATATTGCTCTAGTCACAGCTGTTTAAAGGTACATCTTGGCCAAAGTGGGAGTTGGAGGAGTTTATTCAAATAAGACTGTAAAATCTGAAGTAATTTTAATTCCTTCCCTTGCAAACGTACTTTCCCACTCAGAATGAGAACAGTAGGTGCACATTGCAGCTTCTGGGGAAGGAAGTGCTGACGTGGAAAACTAAAGAGCAGTGGCCAAAGTCAGGGGCTGTCAGTCCCACACCAGTTGAAACTTTCCTATCACTTCCAAATGTCATTTCAGACACGTTAGCCACAAAAAGCCCAGAAGATGCATAGTTTTAACTTTCTACCCACTCCTCTGGGGCCACAGTAGAAGAACAGCTAAATGAATGCTGCAGGCTGAAGACTCTTCAGCTACATTGCTCCAGAGGAAGAGAGCTGGAATTAGGAGTGCTCCAGCTTTGCTGCTGTTATTCCCAGACCTTTCAAAATCAGCAACCAAACATCAGTTGTGTCTGTTTCCCGCTGAAGAAATTAATCGGAAACTCACACTCTCCCGGCAGCGTTCTGCCCCCTGCCTGTGCATACGGCATTTCATCACGGGTCAAGTCATCAGTCTCCAGCCCCAGCACGACGCTCCGCGGGGGAGCCCTCCTACTTCACTTACCTGTGCCTGCTGCCATCTGAACACCCTCCAGACTGAAAAGGCAATTCATCTCACCCTAACTCAAGCCTCTGAAATGCCCTCTGCAGGTTCCTCTGCTGGTTATAGACTCAGCCTACTTCAGATCACGCTGCTGACTTCTGAACAGTAAAAGTTAGGGAAGCGAATCGTACCGCTGAGAGGTTGCTCAGCTGCTTTATTTAAATCCAATAACGATGCACTGCAGTGAGTGTCAGCCCTTGAGATTACCTTTCCATCTCTTTCACCAGGTATAACACACAATGAACGAGGGATCTCACCGAACAGGATGCTGTGAACACCGCACTGTGCTCTGTGCTCCCAGCAAGCTCTCTCTGAACAGTTTACCCACCACATCTTTTCCAGGGCTTTATAATTTTATTCCCCTGTAAGATGTCAGCATTAATGCAAACTGTTGCACCAGCCACTGCTGGTTCTGTAAATAATTTCTCAATGGTACACCTTTTTCAAAGCAATTTGAACGATTGAAAATTTAACCGCATTAAACTCGCACACATACTTTTCATCCGGATCTGTCAAATGCAGGGTCGTGGAGCTGAATGCATACAGCATTTTGGTTCAGCATTTTAAAACTGGAGCATAGTGCTGGTCTGGATGCTTTCCACGTAAAGTCAATAGCAGTTGGGAAGTCCTTCATGAACCCCCTGAATCCTTCTGCAATTCCTCTTCCATGACTCAAAGCCCCAGCTGGATTTGATTGGGGGAACTTGTTTGTTTCTTTTGTTTGGGGGTTTCCACCACTTCTGGGCCATGAGGGACAGGAAGGTGTGTTTCTATTCTGAGATCACGGGTTAAACACATTGTCCGAGAGCAAAGTATTGCAATGTAATGCAGGCTGACTGCTTTACAGCCAGATCCTATTGATCACAAATGCATATCTCATGGACTTCATCCCAATTTTCTTATCACACGTAACTGTTAGGCTCATCTGCAGCTCCAAACAGTGTGGTTTGTGTAACTGGAGTTTGGTCTGCTGAGAAAAAGAGGAAGACTCTCTGTAGCTCACCTTGCAATTAGCTGGAAGCCAGCAAAACAGATACATCTCTGGTGGAGCAAATTCTGTACTTTATGCCTCATACTCTGCCTTTGAGGTATAGGACAAGCAAGGTATAGGAGCAAGTCAGGGACAGCCTGGCCATGACAACCTAGAGAGCATCCTTTTCCTGGATGAAGGCAGGAACCCTGTTGGTGGTGTGTGTGGCATCCACTCCAGCTTCCTCAGCGGCCTCCTGGCACAGCACAGCAGCACCTTCATCAGCAAAACAGGGACAGCTGCTGCCACCAGAGCGACTTCAGGCATGTGCCCATCTGTACTGAGATGAAGGGCTGTTTTCAGGGGGCTGTGGTAATAGAGCAGCACCTCAGGCCTGCAAAACACAGGGGGAAAGCACTCTCAGAGAGCCTATGCTGGGAGACCAAGTACAGGGCAGTGCCTCAGGCCCACACAAAGAGAGTTCAGAGCTCTTGGACAATTTCAGGAGATGAGGCAGTAGCCAGTGTTTCAGGCCTGTGCAGATACAGTGTAGCACTGCTGGAAGGTCAGGAGTGAAGGCCAGGTGACATGGAACCACCTCAAACCTGCTCGGACACAGTGCAGCAGTCTTGAGAGGCCGATTTCACGAGGTTCAGGATAGGGCAGCAGCTCAGCCTTGCACAAACATGGTGGCAGCACTCTGGAAGCCCTGATTTCATACTGCTGGGGATAAGGCAGTAGCTCAGTCCTGCACAAACACTGCTTAGCAGTCTTGGAGGGCCGGGCGATACAAAAACACCTCAGACCTGCACCAGCTCGGCACAGCACCCTTGGAAGACCCGTTTGGTGAGGGCAGGGCTAGGGCATTGTCCCAGATCCGTACCCACATTGCTCTCAGAGACCTGTACCCACACTGTGGAGCTCTCGGAGGGCCGATGTTGGAGGCCGGGAGGAGGCCATCGCCTCAGACGGGGACAGGACGCACAGGGCTCAGCGCCGTCGGAGAATGGCGCAGGGTGGGAGAAGGATGAGGGTGGCGGGGGGGGGCACGCGCCATCGCCTCAGCCGCGCAAAGGCGGGAAGAGGCTCGCGCACGCCGGCGCGCGGCGGGGC